TTATTTATGACACATGCAGATACTAAGAGGCTCCTTCAACTTAAGGCAGATAAGCACTGTAAGATCATTTCCATCTTGACTCAACCACCCACTATTACTAGAGTCCTCTCTCTCCTTCTAAAACCTATAGACTGGTGGTTGTTTTTGAGACTCCAGAGCAAGCAGCCATTTTCAAAGGATGTTTGCTTGCTCAAAATAGACCATCATGACACTGGTATGAGAATGCTTTGTTGTACTCTAGTTGGGTCATGATTTTGTTTGCAGGTTACCTTTCTTAAGCACTCAGGGTGTGTTGTCAGTAAATAAAGTGCCTGTCAAATTAGTCACTGACCCTGCAATAAATTCTGAAAAGCTACAAAGGGAATCCAGTTAAAAAAGTCCATATCATCTTCCTCTACAATATGATAAAAATGGAAAGAACAGATGTACATGTGGCCAACAGGCACATGAAAAGATGCTCAATATCACGAATTATTAGAGAAATGCAAATCAAAACTACAATGAGGTACCACCTCACACCAGTCAGAGTGGCCATCACCAAAAATCTACAAATAATAAATGCTAGAGAGAGTGTGGAGAAAAGGGAACCCTCCTACACTGTTGGTGGGAATGTAAATTGTGCAGCCACTATGGAGAACAGTATGGAGCTTCCTAAAAAAATCTAAAAATGGAGTTACCGTATGATCTAGCAATCCCACTCCTGGGCATATACCTGGAAAAGACAAAAACTCTAATTCAAAAAGATGCACACACCCCAATGTTCATAGCAGCACTATTTACAACAGCCAAGACATGGAAGCAACCTAAGTGTCCATCAACAGATGAATGGATAAAGAAGATGTGGTATATATATATACGATCAAATACTACTCAGCCATAAAAAAGAATTAAATAATGCCATTTCAGCAACATGGATAGATCTTGAGACTGTCATACTGAGTGAAGTAAGTCAGATAGAGAAAGGCAAATATATGCCATCACTTATATGTGGAATCTAAAAAAATAATACAAATGAACTTGTTTACAAAACAGAAACGCGCTCACAGACATAGAAAACAAACATATGGTCACTAAAGGGGAAAGGGTGGGGGAGGGATAAAACAGAGTACGGGATTAACAGATACACAGTACTATATATAAAATAGATACATAGAATGGAAGGAATAGTTACTTTTCACCGAGCATGCACAATATATCATGGACTTCACACACATTTCTAACCTTCCGAGGAAATTGGGGATCAATGATGTTAAATGATTTGCTTAATGCTGCTCCGTAAAAAGTAGAGCTAGGATTTGAATACAGATCTTTCCCGCATCAAACATAAGCTTTTCTTACCTGGGTGGTTTAAAAAAAATGGCTGCAAAATCTTGACTCTTTTAACGTTGAGCAGTTCGTCTACATGCCCTCCCTTTAAATCTGGGTGGGCTTGGACTGCTGCAACCAGTAGACTACAACATAAGTGATGCCATGTGACTTTTGAAGCTGGGTCACAGAAGGCCATGAGCTTCTGCTTTATTTGCTGGAACATTTGGAGCCCTGAGCCACCAGGTAAGAAGTCTTCTATTCAGATGCCACCATGCTAGGTAGAAGCCCAAAACACATGGAGTAGCCATGTTTGTAAGCATCACAGCTATAGTTGACAGTTCTGGCTAAGCCCAAACTTTGAGACATCCCAGTCCAGGTACTAGACATGCAACTGAAGCTCTAGATCATTCCAGTCCTTATCATTCAATTACCTCCAAAAGTTCGAATCTTCCCTGCTGAAGCTCAGACACTGTGAAGCACGGGCAGATCATCCTCATCAGGTCCTGTCCAAATTTCTTTTTTTTTCTTTTTTTTTTGGCGGTATGCGGGCCTCTCACTGTTGTGGCCTCTCCCGTTGCGGAGCACAGGCTCCGGACGCGCAGGCTCAGCGGCCATGGCTCACGGGCCCAGCCGCTCCGCGGCATGTGGGATCTTCCCGGACCGGGGCACGAACCCACGTCCCCTGCATCGGCAGGCGGACTCTCAGCCACTCCGCCACCAGGGAAGCCCCTGTCCAAATTTCTGACCACAGAATCCTGAGCATAATAAAATCTTTGTTGTTTTATACCACTGAATTTGGGGTTATTTACTGTTCAGCAGTATTTTGCAGAGTCGGGACGGATCTTGGGTGTCTACTAAGCTACCTTCTACCTAATAACCAGAATCTCACCTATTTCTAGTTGAGAGGTTACACACTGGTAGTTAATGGCTAAATCTGGCATTCAAAAGGGTTTTGTTTGGCTCTCAGAATTGTGAGTTTTAACAATGATTAAATTTTACATGAAACCTGAATTTCCAGCTTCTCTGGGAAAATCAGAAGATCTGGAGACACTGGGCTGGCATCGTGGTAAGAAAACAGTCCTGTGTTTCTGTGTAGCAGCTACCTCCTTCATGTGGGCCTTTGCTCCAAGTGTTAGAGTCCTCAGCACTCATGATTGCATTACTGGCCTTCCTGCCTGCCTGCTTACTGTGAGCGTTTGTATTTGTAGACTTGAGAGACAGATGATCTTACAGCCTGTTTTTGAGTGTTGAAAAGTGCTTAAGAATTATTGTTTCTTCCACTTTTATCTTCTAAAATTCAAGTTCAGTTTGCATTATCATAATCTATTTTGCATGTTTAGTAATTATAGTGATGACTGGAATACCTTTTAATGCTATAAAATAGTACAGTTTAAAATAAACATTAAATCCCAAATCTTATATTTAATCATCCATCTGTCGTGATAAAGATGCTTCCATCTTTATGGAAGTCAGAAGTCAGCTAACTGTTTAATTAGGGAAAAAACCCCTCTGTCTTGCACTCAGCTTTGAAAAAGAAGGCTATCCTTCAATTGTGGACTTAATGTCGACTCTATTTAGGACTTATGAATGGATTCGTTTTGGGGGAAGACCCTTCTTTACCAGAGCCCTTTCTGGAAGAGAATTTGGATTTTGGCATGGATCCATCCCTCTGTGGTTCCTGAGTTGAAACCCAGCTCTTTTGTGTAGCCGTGATAAGTCATTTGATTTAGGAGAGACATCAGGGAAAGTAGCAGGGTTAGTAGAATACTAATGTGACTGCTTGCTAAGAGTCTGAAGGGGGAAGAGGAAGAGAAAAAGAATTTTCATATTTACTCAACACTTAACTCAGACCAGAGCAGACTAACCCATATATTTTTTTTCATTGGCAGTCTGACAAAAGGAAATGTCTTAAATTTTTTTTTCAGTTAAACTTCAAGATGAAAGAACAGGGGAAGTGATTACCAAAGGAAGTTGTGGAAACTCTTTGTCTAGAGATGTTTAATAAAAAACAAAGCTTTCTAGACAGGAGAAATCATTCCAGCTTTGGAGTGGGACAGAGGCAGGCAATAAGGCAGGCCAAGGAAAACTTGATGACCTTTTGAAAACTCCATTAAAGCTTTAATAGCTGTTGTATATTTTGATCAGTGGCCACAGACCCATAGCAGAAGGCTTTAACAAATTTGACTTGAAATTGGGTGTGTATTGGATGGTCATTACTTATTACAGCTAATAGGTGTTTACTGTTAGCATTGTGTTCTTATGAGGCTAATGCAATTTTGACACCCACCCATGGCTTCATATTATTTCTTTGGCCCTGTTCAGCGTGATGTAAACCGCAAAGGGGACTGTCTACCTCACAGGCAAAGTGACACATAACAATGCAATGGTTTTGGCTTCTGACGTTTACGTTTAGGTTTCGCATCTTAGGAGAACTGTTGAAGTCAGTACATGGGTACTTGCTGAGAGGGGTTCCAACAAGGAGCCATGGGTGCCGATTCTGATAGTGATTTGGGTCATTAGAAATCAGCATTGAATGACTAACTCCAGAAAGTCATGGAGGGACACACAATGACACAGATTCTGTCCAGGAAACAAGCATTCCATTTTCTAGTATTCCAAAAAAATGAAACAGTAATACAACTTTCTTCCCATTTAGTGGCTATGTGAATCTTCTTCCTTCCTTTCCAAGAAATGTTAATCCAGTCCTTCACATCTGATGACCAATGCCTGTCCCACTGTGGTGGATGCTGTGATGTACTTGCTTTCTTCAGGAATGAAAAGCTTCATTCCCCAGTCTGTGGGACCATTACTAGCAGAAACCCCCCAGCTGCCAGCCCCCTCCTGGGTTTGCCTTGGTAGAAGAAAACCACACCCAAAGTTACCATCCTTCCAGGGGTAATACATATCACATCCAATCACTGATCAAAGTCAGGATATACAAAATTCCCAAAACCACCCTCATCCCTGACACTAATTCCAGAGTTTGGGCATCTCTAAGACTACTCTCAAGTTTAATAATTCACTAGAAAGACTCACAGAACTCACTGAAATCTGTTATGATCATGGTTACAGTTTATTACAATGAAAGGATACAGATTGAAATCATCCATGGTAGAGACTCATAGGATAGAGTCCAGGAAAGTTCCACTCATGGAGCTTCCAATCATCCTCTCCCAGGGGAATTGCAGACAGCACTAAATTCCCTAGCAACAATATGTGACAAAATCCATGGAGTATTGCCAGCCAGGTAAGCACACCTGAGCCTTAGTGTCCAGAGTTTTTATTTGGGGTTCAATCACATGGACATGGTTGACTGCCCACATGGCTGACATCAGTCTCCAACTTCACTAGAGATCAAGCTGATACCTGTGACCCAATAAACCTACCATAAATCACATTGTGAAACTCTCTGCTGTGGCCCAAGGCTCTTAAGTAAATAAAAACACTTTTACCAGGCAGGACATTCCAGCACCTTCCAGGAGCTTGGGACAAAGGCAAGACTTCTCTTTGGACCAGGTTAATTTTTTTACTACACAGGACATAAAGACTCCCTCCCTCAACCTGGGACAATTTTGAAGGGTCATACTAGTTTCAGAGCTCATTGGAGGGTGAGTTGAATCCTCCTTTGAGGTTGCAGTGTGACACGATTTGTCCCTCTACCCAATCCTGTTTTCCTCCCTTTACTTCCACAGGTGTTAATTCCAAGCTCGCTTCCTAGTAATTCACCAGCATGCTATTCTCCAGCTCAGGATCCACTTCCAAGGGAACCCAACTTGCAACCGTTGGTGCCACAAGTGGTCAAGAAAGCAGATGCTGGAGTGAGATTTTAGAGCTGGATCACTTGCTGCCCAGTTGCCAATAAAGAGTCCATCACCAGCAGAAGGTAAACGGTTAACTCCTGGCACAAATAACAACATAGCAGTGCCATAGTTAAAAGTTTCACTGGCAGTGAATTAGAATTGCATGCTGGTGGAAAAGAATGCAGGTGCTGAGAAATACTGGGGCAGTATTAACTATAAGAAGATGGAACTGTGTGTCTGTTGTTATCTGATGTTCTGGAAAAAGATAATAAGAAGGAAATGATAATCAATTAAAAGCTAAGTGTGAAACCTAGAGGGCCTTCATGGTAGCATATAAATAGGCTTTCGTCTCTTTCTGGGGATGGTAAAGGGAGGCAGCACTAGGGTGACCAACTATCCTAGTTTGTTTGGGACTCAGGGGGTTCCCATTATGTGGGGCATTCAGTTTGCAAACCAGGAAAGCCCAGGAAGACTGAGATAAGTTGGTCATCCTAAGTGATAAAGAAAAACGGACCAGGCCCAGTGATGCACTGGCAGAAATGAGTGCCAGTCTTCAAGATCTAAAGATGCAAGATATTTCCCATCATATTCCCATTGAATTCATCAGACTGACACATAAGAAATCCAGACAAATCCTGGAGACTGGTAGTAGACTACTGCAGACTCACCCAAGTAGTAGCTCTGATTTCTACTGTGGTCTTTTTAAATAAATAAATAAATAAATAAATAAATAAATTTATTTATTTATTTATTTATTTTTGGTTGTGTTGGGTCTTCATTGCTGAGTGCGGGCTTCCTGTAGTTGCAGTGAGTGGGGGCTACTCTTTGTTGCAGTGCGTGGGCTTCTCATTGTAGTGGCTTCTCTCATTGTGGAGCACGGGCTGTAGGTGGGTGGGCTTCAGTAATTGTGGCATGTGGGCTCAGTAGTTGTGGTGCATGGGCTTAGTTGCTCCACAGCATGTGGGATCTTCCTGGACCAGGGATCAAACCCATGTCCCCTGCATTGGTAAGCATATTCTTAAGCACTGTGCCACCAGGGAAGTCCCTACTGTGGTATTTTTTGCTGAAGCAGATCAACACAACCTTGGGTACAAGGTATGAGAGGTCATTCATCTGTCAATTGCGTTCTTTTCTGGTCTTCTCAAAAAGGATCAGAAACAGCTGCTATTCACTTGCAATGGACAACAGTGTCCACTTACAGTCTCACCCTAGAACTATGTTAATGCTCCTACTCTCTGATATAGGATAGTCAAAAGAGACCTGGGCTGTTTGGTGGAAAGAGTACTGATTAAGGTGTGTTCAATCTGAATTGTATAGCTGAAGGTCAGATAACTTTTTAATAGAGCTGTGGGAAGATGGATCAGCTGCATCCTGAGGAACAGAAATTTCCTTCACTGAGAGGGTCCTAGCATGAACTAGCTGCCTTTTGTCATGGCCATTACAGAAAGGAGCCATGTTTCTGATGGAGGTAGTTGGAACTGTAGTTAGAAATAGAGGGTGAGGAAGAGTGAAGTCGGTGAGGTTGGGATGTAAACTTTGCAAGAACACCTTCAGGTGGTTATTTTGAGTCAGGAGCCAAGAAGTAATCAAGTTCCCATCATCTAATGGCATGTACTTAAACACAGTGGAGATGGTATATTTGTCAGAAAAGAGGCAATCTCTTGGAAGTCTACTTTAAGAACATTTCATCCTCTTCTGGTTATCTCTTGTTGAAAGCTCTTTATAACCTAATAGCATTTTGGCTTTATCTCTTATTCCACTTACTGCTGTGGTGACCAGTTCAGTACAGATTTCCAGCAATTTCATGGGTGCAACTCTCAGGATAGTGCTATGCTCCTCACTGTGCATCTTTTCCACTGCTGCAAGACAGGGTTCTTTAGGAATTGCTTGGCTCTCATGCATGTGGGTGGGCCAACTCTTGACCAATGGACAGTAGGAGCTGATGGAGCAATGCTTCCCTAGTGGACAACATGGGCATCACACATGATCCCACAGGACCCACTACCCAGTCTCATGTAACAGGGGCCAACTCAATAATTCATCCTTATGCTGGCTCTTTCTTCTTCTTTCTTTACTCTTGCTTCCCACTTCTGCCTCTTGAGATCACACCCCCAGAGAAACAACTCGCATGCAAGCCTTTGTCTCAGGCTCTGCTTTGGGGGAAATGCAGCCTATATGCTGTAACATGATAGATAGGTGCTCCCAGCCAGATGTTACCTGGAACTACCTTGTTAGCATAGAGTCTCCACTGTGTGTGTGTGTCCTTCTCTGTTCTCACTTGTTTTCTAAGCTACATAAAACAAGGCAAAGGAGGTCAAGCTTCATTTGGGGCAAGACGTACATTTGAGGAATAATAGCAGTGAACATTTTTTGGATTGGTTCTTATCTGCCAAGCACTGTTCTAAGCGGTTTATATACATGACCTAACTTTTACTAAATCCTGTGGGGGAGACATTATTATTGTTCCTATTTATACACAGGGAAATGGAGGCTGAGAGAATTTTAGTAACTTTAAGTGGCTTGGCTGGGGAATGGCGAAGCTGATCTGATTCCATTGTCTGATGTCAGAGCAGAGCTCTTAAATACTAGAAATCCCAAGATGCAAATCAATATTAGGCTCTGTGTGGGTGATGAATGGGGTTTGATTACCAACATTTAATGTGCAAGCATTAGCACGGGATTGTACACCAAGTTGATTTTTCTCAGGGAGCCTGGAGAGAGTGGCCAGACTCCAGCAGGAGAAGTGGAAGGTCTCATTCACCAGGCAGGTGAGGGTCAGCAGAACGGGGCCATTTAACTTCTTATTTGGCTTTATCTGATTGCTAGAAAAGGGTGAACTTTGTGATATTTATTTATGGTTGTATATAATGCTTATGATTATTTATGATATTTGTAAATAGACGGCTCTGCTTGGTCATTTATGGCTGTATCTTGGACTTTTCATCATAGAGATGGCCTTAAAAATAATTTTAGTCTGTCATTAGAGGACAAATAGATGGTGTTTACCATGTCAGGTTTCAAGTAGGAATGGCTGGTGACACCTGGGAAAGAAAAAAAATAGGATTAGGTAATTTACAAAAGTGCTTCATTTTTCAAAACCTTCTCACTTTCCTCACTTTTTCATGTTGTACCGAAATAGAATGTTTGTCTTAATTAGAAGAAACAGGTCATGACTCTGAAGGCAAACAGATCCATTATTCTTCAAGAAATGCTCTAATCCTCCAGCCTGAGGTCAGGCTGTGTGGATAAGGGGTACACTGGGGGAAGGGACTTTTTATTTAAACTGCTCCTGAGCAAATATTTCCTTCTCCCCATCACAATCAGCTTCCAAAGCAACCCATAAATGTCTTTCTGAAGAGTATACACAGAATCCAGACCCCAGGCCCAGCCCTGGAACACCTGCTAGGGCTGAAGTATTTTAGGGTCCTTTGATGACAGCAGTCATTCACACCATATCTGCTCCCCAGAAGGAGGCTCAGCCAAACAAGGGAAGGTGGGGTTTCCTTGCACTTGACTTTTGCAAAACGAAATAGTCATTCGTGCATCCCCAAGTTTGTAATATGCATGTAAAATTTTGTCACATGATGTGGAGTTATTTGCATGAACCAACTTTATTAGTTACCTGGGACTCTGGCCCCAGGTGAGAACAAAAAGAGAACCACAGTGACAGGAACTATAACTAAGGGGTTCTGTGTCCTCTGGCAACTTCTGGAGGCTTTCTGAGCATGCACTAAGATCGACAGGTGATTCAAAGATGAACCAGATACAGACCATGCCTTCCAGAAGCTCACAGACTAATGAAGGAGGGTGCTAACAAATATACCTTAAATAACTAAAGCATGAGATAGAAAGAGTCAAATTTCATCACAGGTAGAGTGCTAGAGGAGCTTAAGAATGAGATTACTTCCAACTGAAAGGATCCAGGAAGACTTTGTAGAATCCTTTGGATTTAACCTTGAAGGGAGGGTTGGATTTGAACGCTCAGGGGTTGGGCTGGGAAGAACTTTCCAGAGGGAGGGTATGGTCTGTGCAAAGGCAGAAGTGTGTAAATGTTAGCATGTGTGTGGGCAGCAGCATGAGAGCAGTGGGGAGTCCAGGGAACTGGGGAAAGACAGTGGAGGGATTTGCCCATTGGATGAGGGATTGTCGAGGAGACTTGTAGATAAATTAATCCTTCATCGATTGAAGCTGTGAATTGTCCAAGGTCACATGGCTAGCAGTTGGCAGTAGGGTGGGTTTCGGCCCTGATCTCTTGGTTCTCAGTTCAGTAAGTTTTCTCTTCCTCACTTTGGATTACAAGAAGCTTTTAACTTTGGTTTATTTTTGGCCATCTGTGACAAGTACCTTGAGGAGCCCATTTTGGGAGGTTAAAGGCAACATGGTCCCGAGGGCTTAATCTTGGAAATCTACCAGCTTTGTGAATAGGTTTACTCTTGCTTTCTTTCCACCTTCCCTCACCCATTAGGATACCAGTGGGGCCAAGTCTGAGACAGTCAGGCTTTGGGAACAGGCACGTGGCTGGAGGTATGTATGCGCGAGAGAGAAGGACATGTGTACGTGCGTCTCTGCTTGATGTCTCTGTTCTGAGGCTAACTATGAATCACCCTTGGAATTTTGTTCTCTCAACTTGACATGGGCAAAAAGCCAGCACAGAGAAGAATTTTACTTTGCCCTGAAGTGTGTTTATTTCTGGGCTTAGCTGGAGCTCAGGAAACAGGGAGTGTTTCATTGACTAGGAAAGCCCTTTCTTGGGTGTTGGCTGGGTGCTGCTTTAGCAGAGAGATAGAGTCAGAGAATGAAGAACACTCAGACATTGGAAGGGATCTTAGAGGTGACCTGCCAGAAAGCTTTCCACAACAGCACTTGGCTTCCTGACGCAGGCTGGGACGTGCCTCTCAGGGCTAGTCTGTTGGTCAACAAATAGCAATTGAGAGCTTAGTATTTGCCGGACAGGGTTGTGGAGAGGAGAGAGTGAGGTCAAGCTAGTCAAGTGCCTAGCACAGTGGAAGCACTTGGTTCAGAAATGGTAGTTTCCGTGGTATGGAGGGTGCTCTGTAGGCTGAGAAAGCCAGTGTTCAGTATG